ATATCAACACAAGTTAGACAGGTTGATTGCCGGAGTGATCATCTCTAACTTGAGGGTAATTGTGAATTATCCTGGACCCCCGATAAACCCCACATAAAATAACTGTAGATTCCTCTTCTGGACATTGTCTGCGGGCAATCACATCTCTGTCATCGCCATCAGCCGCATCACCGGCGCGTTCTCCGCATCAACTGTCCGTCAACACATCAACTATCTCATCATTGACATCAATCCCGCCGCCGCCGGTCACAGCGAGCTCCCCACCACCGTCCCTCGTGCATGGAAATTCACGAAATTAATGTGGGGGGTAGGGGACATAATTAGGAGTATTATAACCCTTGAAAAATGTATGTACCAGCCCTATATACATCACATACACTGTACCTGCAACTAAGATAAGGGAGTAGAGAGCATGGTAGGAGGACAACATGGAGGAGAGGAGGTGCAGGCTCGCAGCTGTGAGTACACGACACATCTCCGCCCCCTACACCGTTGTAGGCAGCAGCTGGTTAGTGAGGGAAGCAACAGGTGCGGGCAGCGGACAACTGCACAACTACAAGTATCCTCACGGGGCGACTCCGCCCACTAGGGCAGATGCTGTTGTTGTCATCTGCACACAAGCCGTCTTGCTCGCATTCCCACCCTCAGACTTGCACTTTCGTGCAGTGGGCCTGTTGTTGGTCGTGTCACCGAGGTGCACACAGGGTGGACACGAGCAGTTCACGCGATCAGCATTGGCGCAGGAGTTGCGAGCGTCGTCGATGTTAGGCATCTTGAGGATCTCGATACAGGAAGCAATGGCGTCGCCTGAGCTCGCAAAGGTGGGCAACACAGCATCAATATTGCCGCGGGTGAAGAGCGCGAAGGCGTGTGTGCCCGTGCACTCATACAGATTTATTAAAGGGAGGAAGACGGGAAAAGGTCAGTTAAAACAACTGTCAAATTGAATAGCACAAAACGTACCTCATCTTGGACTTGGGACGCAACATTGTGAGAGTCGACCGCGGATCTGACGTGGGCAGTGTGCAGCCCTTTTGTAGATAGCCTGCGATGAGCAACTTCCAGCGTGGTGAGAACACGTGCCTTCTCATCCTTGGAGACAGCCTTCGCAAGCACCGCGTCGGCACACTTCTGAAGCCCAGGGAGCTTCATGCCGAAGCATGCACATATGTTGCTGTCAGAGTATTCAGTGCCTGTGTCGAGGTCAAATCCGAGCTCGACTGCCCTGCGGCGGTGCTCTTTGTTAGAAATGGTGTGGGGACGAGGGCAGCGGGGCGCTGTGGACAATGTAGATTTTTGTCCGTGAGTGGCACGCTGGGTATCAATTAGTGAAGGAAATACGTTGAAATATATTGACTCGGAAGTCGACGCACATTGCATTGGCGGCTTCAGCCTTGAGTTTAGCTGCCACCTCCGCCACTGAACATCTGTTTTTCATGGCTTCCTGGGTGCTGGAACACTGCTTAAATAAAATAATGTAGAACCTCAAGAGGAGAGAATACCTGGCGCGACATTTGGCCGTGATTTATATTTTTTGTGCTCGAGCTGCTTCATTCAACGGTGCCTTGCATTTGCTGGGCATCCAGGAGTTGCAGGGCATGTGGAGAGGATCAAAAAACTCCACTTCTTCATCCTGCGTTGAGCATTGTTTCACAATTTCTGCCCGCCGAGGATTCAGGTTAGTTGTGAATAATTATTGAGCTATCGTGCCCACTTCTCTGCGTAGCGTTGAAGACTTGCTCGGTGGCGAGCAAACTTGGCTTCAGGATTCAGTATAAATCGGCCCGACAGCATGAGTGTGCAGAAAAGGTAGTGGAAGTCAGGTAAGAAGCCAATACAATATCTTGATGTGGCTCCAAAACGCCACTTTCACAGGGAGTTCGCGATGGTAATGATCCAATTAAATTCTACTGGACACAACTCTCAAATGAAAAATATAAGACTCTGGTGAATTGCAAAGGAGGTACATGCCGTGGGCTATGAAAATCAATCCCGTCAATACGACCATTGCTTGAGGAGTAAAAACCAAAATACCTCATCTTTGAATTTATCCTCAAAGGCCTCAGAATGCACCCCAACAATTCAGGAAGTCTTTTGAGTAAGGAGAAACAGTAAGAACAGGTTCAAGAACAACGAAATACTATAATATGTTTACACAAAACAGGGAGTTCGCGACTTTAAATCTAAAATCCATGAGGGATAATAACCTTCAAAATCTTTAAAAATTTGCTGCGACAAATATACAAGTAATCTAGTGTTCTACTTCCTCAAGCAACTCTTCTACGGTGCTAAGTAAGTCTAACCCCATCGCCCACCGCGTCCTTTCAACTCCGCAAGCTGCTCATGCTCGGCGCACCCATCCTCACGTCAAAGGGGCCATGACGGTGATGGCGCCAAACCGTAGCTGAGCACAAATGGGCCGCGGCGGTGTCCAGACATGTCAGCGGCAAATCTTGCTACTCACGCTCGTGGGCCATCACGGCACATGCGGCGGCAACAGGCAAAACAGGTCAGGGAAGGAGGGCGAAGAAAGGCGAGGAAAGTACATACCGTCCCAGCGCATGACCTAAAAGCCTCCCGTGATGACCTCGGGGAAAAAAACTTTGGTGTCCAGGGTGGTAGGGATCGTGTGCTCACATTCGACATGGGCGTGGACACCTGGCCCTTTGCAAAGGTGCGCTTGCAGAGTCGGCGACCCATAGCAGTCGGCGACTGCTATGGTGGGCTCGTCGGAGGAGGAACAGCCCTCCACATCGTCCTGCACGTCATTCACAAGCGCGCAGCAGAGGACTCAGGAGTCACGTTAAACGTGCCAGATTTGAGGAGAAGGGGGGTGGGCGGCATCCACGAAGTGAATGTGGTGCCGCTGCGTGTCTGGGCCGTGTTAGGTGCATACTTTCAAGTAGATGAGACGCCATACCCTGGGTTCCTGTGGAATCCACAGCATGGACGTGTCTGCGTAAAAATTTAATCAGCATTTTGAGACGGAGATGAAAACATGTATATCTTTCTCAATTCTCCGTTGCAGCTCTGATATGCTCGCCCCAGGGTTGATTCAGGCATACTGGAGCTACAACGAAGACCCCAGGAAAGATATACGAGTGGAAAACGCACCAAGTGGGAGGAGACGGACGGTGGTGGAGAAGGGAGGTGCGTTGGCACATCATCACGTGAGATTACGTGACTGCGGGCCGTCAGGCCGCACAGTGGCCGCACTGGCCCAATATTACTTTCTTTACCTCTGTGCTTGAAATCCCTATGTCCTTCTAGTCCCCCAACTCTGTATATTAATCTTGAGAGCCTTACTGAACAAGGTATTCGGGCTTGTGCAATAATTGTTCTTTGGTTCCGGTAAATAGGAAATACAATGTGACCCTACACTGCCGCATATGATGTTAAGGTGGAATAAGGCTCTAAATAACTCTTATTTATGGCCCACATTAATTTCGTGAATTTCCGTGAATTTCCATGCACGAGAGACGGCGGCGGGGGGATTGATGTCAATGATGAGATAGTTGATGCGTTGACGGACAGTTGATGTGGAGAACGCGCCAGTGATGCGGTTGATGGCGACGACAGAGATGTGATTGCCCGCAGACAATGTCCAGAAGAGGAATCTACAGTTATTTTATGTGGGGTTTGTCGGGGGTCCAGGATAATTCACAATTACCCTCAAGTTAGAGATGATCACTCCGGCAATCAACCTGTCTAACTTGTGTTGATATGTGGGCCATATAGGTGAATTGTGGATGGCAGCGTGGGTAGTTGTCTCCAATGCAAGGCTGCAGATCAACTGCAGATAATTACACAGTTGTTCGTTATTGTATTTTGGTTTCCGACATTTTCTCTTTCATTTATTATCGCAAGTTCAAGTTGAACGGAAGTTGAACGAAATGACACCTCCCGCGGATCCTCCATCCATCTGGCTATCCAAACAAACGGATGCCCGATTAACCCGAGTTTGCTTCCTTTGAAACCAAGCTAATCTAGGTTTCAGACTATAAATTAAGTCAGTACCTTCGAGCTGACGAGAATAGTAGCTTCAAGTTGAACATGAGTTCATTTTTAAATTTATTTTGTGCTCACACAAAACCACCCTCCAACGCTACCCACCAAAAGCAGTATGGTGTAATGCTGCACACAGGGATTTCATCATCAGGGAGCCATTGGATTTAACCCTGAAGTCCTTGTTCGAATCAAGGTACTGCTCTATCTGAGCACTCCGTGACTTTTTTTATTGTTATTTTTTAACTCAAGGACGTCAAAGGAGGAGAAGGAAAGCAGTATGGTGTAAATTCTGCGCACAGGATTCCATTGATTGTTTCATGACTGAGATCAATCCTGATGTCCTGGTTCGAATCAAGGTGCTGCTCTGATCGAGTTCTGCTTTTGGCATGTATTTTATTGTGGGACACCTCAGGCTAAAATTTTACAGAGGTTTATGAGGCAATAAGTAGGGTAAAAAAGGCAGTATGGTGTAACACCGCACCCGGGATTCCATTAATCGCTCTCCAACAAAATTGATCCTGAGGTCCTTGTTCAAATCAAGGTACTGCTCTTTTCCCGGTTGTGCGCAAATTGTTTTATTGTCAATCACTCAAAATGTTCAGGACTCGTGCAAGGCAATAAGCAAGAGGGGAAAGCAGCATGGTGTAATTCTGCACCCCGAGTTTACCTGCGCGGTTTCAACGGAGTGTAGCCCGGAGGTCCTTGTTCAAATCAAGGTGCTGCTCTGGTTCAGGACGTTCACCTATTGTTATTTTTTAAGGACATTGAAGGCTCATGGGCCTTGGAATAGAAGAAGTAGCAGTATGGTGTAAATCTGCTCACAATATTCCATTCAGAGTACTAGTTGGGTTTGTGCAATATTAATCCTGAGGCCTGAGGTCCTTGTTCAAATCAGCATAAGTACTGCTCTAATTCTACCACCTCAGTCAGCATTCTTTTTACTGGAGAATGCAGATTTTTTGAAGGTGTTAGGTTCAAACAAAGGCAAGGAAAGCAGTATGGTGTAATGCTGCACACGGGGTTCCCTTGGGCATTGCGAGGACGCAGTATAATCCCGAGGTCCTTGTTCGAATCAGGGTACTGTTCTTCTGGAGCTCGTCTGCTTTTTATTGTAGGATGCTCCAGGTTTTTTCAGGGTGTTATGAAGCCCACAACAGGGTTAATAAAGCAGTCTGGGGTAATGCTGCACACAATATTTCAACTTGAAGGTGCTGCACTAGGGATCATTTCACAACATTTTTCCTGTTCAAGGTTGCTCAGAGCACTAGGGGACACTGATCCCTCCTCCAAACCTTTATCCGCACCCACTACCTCACCCTCCCGGGGTCAAACTTCCACCTATCACCCGTCTCAAGGGACCCTCCTCTCCGTGTCTCGATCCTTTCCAACCAAAAACGCAACATTCGCAAGTACGCAATATTTGGCCCGCAAAATCGCACGCGAGGACAGATGTCTGGATCTCTGCCCCGTTCCTTCAAGTACCTCCAACACTTCAACTTACTCCCTCAAGCTTGAAGTCAAATATTGTTTCGCACCCTCATCTCTCCATCGCTTTTCCACCTCCACGTACCAACACCTCAAGACGTGTATTACTTGCAAATCAAGGTCGCGCAAGAACATTGATGGTCTGACTTGTGCCGCGTCCGGATATAATCCTTACTGGCTCTTCACCCCTCCTTCAGCATAGCCCAGCACCTTTTTAAACTGCGTTGAGTGTCCAGTGGTACAGATGCGACAAATTTCCGAAGTTCTATCATGTACATAAGTAGTTCACTAGCATTTCTATTAGCACAATTATCGTTCGAAACAAATAAGCCTTTTGCCATTTTACCACTCCGCGGTCCCAAGTCGACTTTTAAGTCGAGTCACAGACGTGAATCCATGCGACACTGCGACTCGTAAGTTGACTTCGTTTGACTTGCTCAACTTGGAGCCGACTTGGAGCGGGTTGAGTTGGCCATTGTACATAGGTAATTAAATTGAATTGGAAGGGCTTCTTGGACCTTTACCACCACAAAGGTAGGGTGCCACTTGTCCACAGTAGGGCTCCAACCATTTATTTGCCGTTTACGGATTCCCGTAAACTAAACGGAAACGGTACATAAACCGTTTAAAACGGCAGATTTTGTTGCATTTTTCTTCCGTGACTTTGAAGTGTTCATGGTGTTGAATGAGTCCTGGGTGGGTTCCGTGATTAGGTCCGTGTGGTAGGTTCATTGTTTATGAGCGAGAACTATAAATCCTTGGAAGTTGAAAGGAGATCATCGCAGGCAGTGAGTAAGTTCGACACGAGCTGATCAGTTGAAAATGTTGGCTAAAGCTAGAACTGCATCAGACACTTTCAGCAGGGTTGATTACATCAGGATGCCATTCAGTGGTACAACATACTGGTGTCCCACATACCATGCCATCCAGCTTGAATTCAAACCCCGCTGATCTGCCGGATGTTGCCGGCCAGGTCTTACGGCCAAGAACGCACTTAATGAGAGTTTCATATTCATTTATAATATTGTGGGTGAAAATGACCCTCCAGGAAGCTTCGTGGATGCCAAAACTTACCTCTAAAATTTGCCTCCCCATGAACAACCGTTTGCCGTTTATTTACCGTTTAGTTACCGTTATCCGTAAACTAAACACTAAATTTAAACTTTTAAACGGTAAATAAGCAGAAGTAAACGGAAACAGTTGGAGCCCTAGTCTACAGTTTGTCTACAGTGGCGCCCGGTGACCCAGATTGAACTCGAAAGTTCCTTGAAAGTTCCCCGTTTAGTTCTAAAGCTACCAGGACTCTAAAGTCCAAGCAGAGGAATCTCCGTAGTTATCAAGGATGGCGATGTATTTACCTAGTTCTTGGTCTAAATGGGCTGGTGCATAGCACACGTAAGTAGTCATCGAAATTGAGCTCGTTTTGCGTGAATGACAGTTTCTGCTGACGATGTTTCCAAAAGGAGAGAAGAAACGTGATTCAGTGCCACCGATCTCAAGATCTGAGACCTCTTGACTCACCACACTCTATAGTAAGTCTCTAGCCAGCCTTGGATTCTGCAATGCCTACGGAGCAGGACTCCCTCATTCTTTCTGTTTTCCCACCAGAGATAACACAGAAAGTATTTCGACACTGTCTACTCCCTCAATATGGGCCGGCCGGACCACCCCGTCCTCTCTCTCACCGATGGTCACCATCACCACGAGAGGCACCTCTGCTCTTTACCCAAATATGTCGCCAATGGCGCGATATATGCCTAAACGCCCCCGACCTCTGGACATCCATCGATTTCGACGAGAACCAGTCCATTGAATACCTGCTCACATCGCTCTCGCGCGCCGGAAACGGTGTTCCTCTTTCTCTTCGGATTCGTGCGTCGGACTCGACGGCTGCACTCGTCATGGACATGGTCATACCCTCCGTCCACCGTTGGCAACGGATTCACCTCATCCTCCCAGCGGCCGAGCTGGTCCGCCTCCACATGCACCATTTCCCAATCTTGGAGCAGCTCACGCTGTGTGTTTTCGAGAAAGAATCGCGCATGACGAAGCCAACCGTCATCCAGAATGGGCCATTGCTTTCGTATGCCGATGCCCGCACATTTCCAACCCTGCACTTCGCTGGAAGTCTGCACCTCTTAACCAGACTTCGGCTTCATGCATTGGACACGAGTCAGACCATGGCCACATTGCGACAGTGTCCGAACCTCCTGGATCTCACATGCGACTACCGGGATCCATATCCATATTCTTTCCTTTTGGAACCACCAGAACCCCTCGAGCTGCCATCACTGTGCTTACTTAAAGTTACGGACCACCGAATGCTGCCGTTCCTGGCAACGCCCAACCTCGAGCGACTCCACTTGCAGTACACATCTCGGAACGAGAATGTGATGGGGATTCCTAGGGATGCCTTAGGGAGCTTCCTGACTCGCTCGGGTTGTGATCTCCTCTTTCTCTCCATTAACACCAAGGAAATGCCTTACAGTTGGCTCATGGCGGACCGGCTCCGTCCCGCGAACTCCGTCCGGCATCTAAGTGTCACCGTGGCCGACTCTGGGGACTTCATGTCTCTAATGAGTGACATCTCGTTGCCAAGCGTCCTTCCACGGCTCGTGCATTTGGAAGTACGTGACCCGGCCGCAGTACTCAACATGACGATGGAGCAGTATGATGCAATGCTGAAGATGTTGCCGATGCGACGGAAACATACGGCTCTCGAGAAGGTGGAGTTGTTTTTTGGCAGACGCTCGGTCGGTGGCCCGCGCACGCCTCACGTCGCGGTCATGCAGGAGCTTCGCAGGCTCGCCGAGGAGAAAGGGCTTCAAGTCCGCATCACGGCACGAAATCGACTAACGTCGCCATACGTCGATGTTCGCCTTTTCGATAATTTTGATGGGAACGCGTTGGAATATACTTACATCCCTACCTTCGAGGCTTGAGCCACAGCCTTATACCGTAGTTTGCATGAACATATTGTGCCCGTTGTTCTTCCGAAATAGATTCCAAGTGTAGCTCTCAATTTATTTGCCCGTCCTGTTCCCAAACTATCCCGAAGCCGGTCTGAATTTTACAAAAAGTCGTCTCGATGGACCTTTTATTTGAGAGCCTCAGAAGTAAGGATTTGTTTAAGAGACTTTCAGCGGTAGCGTCCTTTGGGAAAATGCGGAGCCTGAATGAGAATGAATCGAGACTCAGTATAAAACCGATGTGGCCACCAATAGAGTTCTGAGTTCACGCGAATTTGGAATGCAGACTCACATCGGAATGTTACACGCTAAAAGGCGAATATAGAATACTTGGAATCACAAGGGCTCGCCGAACGACGAGACTAGCGCTAATGCTTCGGCTCGGCCTGGGTCGGGCTCTGACATGTTTTTCTTGCCAACCGGGTTCACGTACGTTTCTTCACTTGATATTTTGAAGATGTCTTACCTTCAATTGCTAGGCCATGCGCTTCGTCTTCGGGGGCAGTGAACTCGGTTATAATTATGAGAGAACTGAAACTCACTTGATATGTGGTCGAAGTGTTGATTTCCAAATTTCAGGACCACTAGTCCTCCCGGGTAAAATCCATCTCATCCCAGAGGAATGGACCGTATGTAGGTTCGAGGTGGGTACATACATATATACACTGCAGAACACGTGGGACGCGTATGAGCAAAAGAAACCGACGAGACTGAGATGAGATGAGATGGGTTGAACGAATAGCGATGGCGAACGCACCGGTACACCCCCCCGGCGCCGCGCACGGCAACCAGGAAGACACACTGCAGTTTACATTTTGTTACAGTTCGTCCGTGCGCCGCTTATGCGCCGCCAGAAGCCGTAATCTGTACCAGTCAGACAGGCATAGAATCGAGATGGCCGCCGACCGACTGACTGTCAGAGTGAGTTCCGAACAGGGGAGGAGGAAGTGCAGAAATTATAACGCAAACTCACTACGCTGTCTGTCCTCATCCGAGAGGAGAATATGTATATCCGAGGTGGGTGGGTATACCGTATACATAGATGGAAAATTCAACCAACCAGCAAGCTCAGCAAGCGAACGATCGAACGAGATTGGATAGCAGATGCATAGCGCCAGTTTGCCCATATGCATAACCAGAACGAAACATCGCAGTTCGTCCTGAGTCTGAGTCCACTCTTTTGTTTCGTGCGGCAGTTAACCGTTAACGCGGTATAAAATCGAGAGATGTAGGCCACCGACCCGAGTCCGCAGTCCGCAATTACATATGACGAGAGATCGCCATGTACAAGCTGCGATCGTGGTTTAGGTGCGGTTGGGGATAGAAAACCTGAAAATATGAGACCCATGGCCATTGCAGGATGAACGAAAGAAGACGAATCATCAAACCCGGCCATAGCCTACCGGTTCACGAGAGCTCGAGGGGTAGAAATAAATTCGGAGCAAATTAATATAGAGGAGACACAAAATCTACACATAATCGTACACCCTCCCTATACTCCACACTCTAGGCCAACACCCAGTCACACCCTCCCCTCCAACACCCGCAAATGCCCCAGCCCGCACGCACCGACGCCCCAAGCCCCCGCCCTCCGCGCACTCGACACCCACCGAAACATCGGCTTCTGGCCAT